AGACATGCCATTTCTTTTCAAAAAATCACTTATCTCAAGCTGGAAGCTCTTTGCATCATCTCTTACAGCATAAGTCATCTTTCTTCCAAGTTGCATAATGATTTTAATTGAAAGACTAACCATATACTGTATAGGAATATATATAGTTTATATATATTCTTTTATGGTATATACCACCTCCTCCATATGTAAGAGCCTATATATAATCCTATACAGTATATATTCCTACATCTAGTCCACACTTTGCTGCCTTAGTAAGGGCTTGCTCCTCTAACAATGGTCTCTTATACCCCAGCGCCTCCAGTGTGTCTCCCTCTATCGTTGGTTTGGGACCCAGCTCTGGCCATCTGGTGGCCCTTTGGCTCAAACCTGTTCAGTGCCCTAAGTATGCCTCGAGGTTTGAATCTTGGTTCTGCAGCTCCTTAGTGATACAACTTTGTGGGAAAATCACTTCATTTTCTTGCTTCGTTTTCTCATCTGTAAAATGGGGATAACTGTAATACTTACCTCATTGGATTTTTGAGATAGTTACATGAATTAATACATATACTTCACTTGCAGCTGTTCCTGGAACAAAGCGGGGCACACTTGGCCCAGATAAGGGGTTTTCTAGCACCTAGCCACACAGGTCAGAAGGAAAAACAAAAGAAACACAGAGAAATGGAATCTGGTTGCCAGAAAGTCTGATAGAGACCCCAGTCATTTACAGCTTAAGGAAGGCTTTGTGTCCAACGGGACTTAATGCCCAGGAAGCTACAGCTCACTCTACTTGGGATAAAGTGGCTGATCTCTCTGCCACGTATCCTTGTCTGTACTTGTGCTGATTTTATCCTGTCTCTGTTAGGTAAGTAAAGGTTGTCTGATTTTTCCAAAAGCGTTTGATCTTTGTGCAGTCTTAAAGTACAAATGGTATTCATTAATAGAGTACTCTTGAATGGTCACCAGCAAGGAACTTAAAAAGGAGAATGCAATCTCACGGACCTAAAAGTTTACTTAAGAGCCAAGCTTTACACTGTCTTTTCTTGAAGAGATTTACAACCTACTGTGCCAAAAAGCCTTGTCAACTGGTCAGGCTTGGGAAAGATTCCCCTCATAGATTAGATTGCTCCATACTATGCTTCCTTTCATAAATTACAAATCCTCTCCCTATGTTTCCCAGCATTCAAAAACAAAGGCTGTCTTAGATTCTATCTCAATCTTTCATGAGCATAATTCTTAGCCTTAAGGCTTATTAACTCTTTTTTTCTAAACAGAGTTTTGCTCTTTGTTGCTCAGGCTAGAGTGCAGTGGCAAGAAATTGGCTCACTGCAACCTCTGCCTCCCAGGTTCAAGCGATTCTTTTGTCTCAACCTCCTGGTTAACTCTTTAACTTATAAAACATGTTTTATAAAATGATGTTTTAATGATATCACTAACATCTATAGTAAAAATTATGTTGGTTTCCAAAAAATACCTATTATTCATTTAAGTTGTAAATGAGGTCATTAGTTCTTTTCATGATTGCTCCTTATAATCTGCTTCCTCTTCTTCTTTTTTTTTTAACGACAAAATCTCACTCTGTCATCCAGGCTGGAATGCAGTGGCATGATCTTGGCTCACTTCAACCTCCGACTCCCGGCTTCAAGCAATCCTCCTGCCTCAGCCTCCCAATTATCAGGGTTTACAGGACTGTACCACTACACCTGGCTAATTTTTGTATGTTTAGTAAAGATGGGGTTTCACCATGTTGTCCATGCTGGTCTCAAATTCCTGACCTCAGGTGATCTGCTCACCTCAGTCTCCCAAAGGGGAATAGAGGCGTGAGCCACTGCGGTGGGCCTCCCCTTCTTTTTTGTTTGTTTGTTTCCCCTTCCTGTTAATAATAGTTAGCTGGGTACAAAGTCACTTTGTATGTAGTCAGTTGGAAGGTAAGTAGAGATTACACCCCCCAAGTCTCTCTTGCAGCTAGATGTTGTGAAGTTTCACTTCTCACAATGACATACAAGCAGAAACGTTACATGCAATTTCTGCCTAAGGGAATAGCTTACCCTGAAACTCTTCTTACACTCACTTGGATTGGAATGTAGAAATGGGAGTAACTTAATTTCAACCATGCAAAAAAAAAAGAAAAACATAACTCCTGAGGGCAGGAACTCATCTCTGTTTTTTTGGCCACAAACCTCTTTGTTAGTTTGGTAGAGCCCATGGACACCTTAGAATACTCTTTTTGTTTTTTGTTTTTGAGACGGAGTCTCACTCTGTCACCCAGGCTGGAGTGCAGTGGCATGATCTCGGCTCACTGCAACCTCCACCTCCGGGTCAAATGATTCTTGTGCCTCAGTCTCCCAAGTAGCTGGGATTACAGGCGTGGGCTACTATGCCCTGCTAATTTTTGTATTTTTAGTAGAGACGGGGTTTCTCCATGTTGGCCAGGCTGGTCACAAACTCCTGACCTCAAGTGATGCCCCGCCTCGGCCGCACAAAGTGCTGGGATTACAGGTGTGAGTCACTGTGCCTAGCCAGAATAATCTTTTGAATGCATAAAATAAAATATGCGAGATTACAAAGGAAATTAATTCAAAATGAACATTATCAAATATTTTAAAAAACCAAATCTGTGACATGGTAATATGCATCTTTATTAACACAATTACTAAGATCTAGTAGCTGATCAAATAATAGCTGTGATTTTGTTTTGTTTTGTTTTTTAGAGACGGGGTTTCACCATGTTGGCCAGGATGGTCTCGATCTCCTGACCTTGTGATCCACCCTCCTCAGCCTCCCAAAGTGCTGGGATTACAGGTGTGAGCCACCGCGCCTGGCCCAATAGCTGTGATTTTGAAAGTGATGAACATAAATGATATTTCAGGATTATCTGCATTAACTCTAATATAAATGAGGATGCCTGTGAATTTTTTTTTTTTTTTTTTGAGACAGAGCCTCGCTCTGTCACCAGGCTAGAGTACAGTGGCACAATCTCAGCTCACTGCAACGTCTGCTTCCCGGGTTCAAGCGATTCTCCTGCCTCAGCCTCTCTTGTAGCTGGGATTACAGGCATGCACCACCATGCCTGGCTAATTTTTCTTGTATTTTTAGTAGAGATGGGGTTTCTCCATGTTGGTCAGGCTGGTCTCAAACTCCTGACCTCAGGTGGTCTGCCCGCCTTGACCTCCCAAAGTGCTGGGATTATAGGCGTGACCCACCGCACCTGGGTGATGCCTGTGATTTTTATGGTGACAAGATTACTATTGGTACTGCCATTATTACTGTGGATTTGTTGCCAACATTCATAATTGGAAGAAATGGTGCTTTTCAGTAAATGTTTGTAAAAATATAAAGAGGTAATTGTTTTGCCATCCAAGCTTATGGTATTCCTGAATTCTATCATGGATGTAGTAGGTAGAATTTTTGCTCCTGTGACCTTTACTTCCTGGTATTACTCCATGCCTATGTTACCTGCATCCAACGGGGACTGTGCAGATATAACTAAGGTTGCCAATCATCTGACTTCAAATTAAAATGATTGTCCTGGATTATCTGGGTGGGCCCTGTGTAATCACAGGAGCCTTTAAAGCAGAAGAGAAAGGCAGGAGAGGAGGTCAGAGAGATACAGCAGAGGGGGATGTCTGAGTAATTCAAAGCTTGAGATGGGCTCCACCCACTGTTGCTAGCTTGGATATGGAAGGGGCCACACAGAAAGCTTGAGAAGAAAATAAATTCTGCCCATAATCTGAATGAGCTTGGAGGTGAACTCTTCCCCTAGATCCTTCAGAAAGCAAGGCTACTCGGTGAACACCTTGATTTCAGCCTTGTGAGATCCTAAGCAGAGAACCTGCCTGAGCTTATTGTACCTAGTCTTCTTGTTACTGAAACACCGGGAGTTCAATCTAGGTCCTGCTGCTCTCTACCCAGAAAACCAATCACTGACACTATGATTGTTGCCAAGGTACAAGGCTCTAATTGGTGCTGCAGCAGAGGAGATGGGAGATCAGTCTAAAATCTATCTCTCCCTGACCAACTAAAATTAGAGGTTTATATGGTAGGGAAAAAATGTAACAATGTGTAGAAAAACAGGAACTAGGGAATGGTAAGCAGCAGTCATGATGAATGAGAGGTCTGGCATCTCCCTGTTTGCATGCCATGATCTGGTGAGTTGGTGCTATACATAACATTCTATACATAACATTGCAGGTTCAAGCAATTCCCATGCCTCAACCTCTGGAGTAACTGGGATTACAGGCATATACCACCATGCCTGGCTAATTTTTGTAATTTTAGTAGAGACCAGGGTTTCACCATGTTGTCCAGGATAGTCTTGAACTCCCGACCTCAGGTGATCTGTCCACCTTGGCCTCCCAAAGTGTTGGGATTACAGGCATGAGCCACCACGCCTGGCCTGATACTTCTTAGAGTGGCCTAGTGGGTCAGTTTCCTGAGGAAGGAACTCAGATAAAACAAATGTAAGTTTCAAGCTTTAAGACCAGAAGTGTCAATTTCTATGTTGTTCCAAAATAATTGTCTATAAGACAATTGGATC